ATTCTCTAAGTTTACGCAGAAAGTAGAGACGCTGACGAGCTTTCTTAACGACTCGGTCAGTGTTTTTAACCCATTTCAGGTTAGACAGAGTTAAACCCAGAAACTTGCTCCTCTACGATCTGCACCTGGGAGTTGTCGATTACGACAGGCAAATGAGAACTATTGCGACTGAAGTCGTGACCAGTTCACATGTTTTGGATGCGTTCAACTGGAGGTTGTAAGTCATTGAGTCCTGTGATCCTGGGCGTCCCCGTCCCGAAGAAGCCCAGGATCACAGGACTCAATGACTACAGACCTGTAGCACTTACGTCTGTCGTCATGAAGTCATTTGAACGCCTGGTTCTCTCCCATCTCAAGTCCTTCACCTCCCCCCTCCTGGACCCCCTGCAGTTCGCCTACAGAGCCAACAGATCTGTAGACGACGCCATTAACCTGGCCCTCCACCACATCCTACAGCACCTGGACTCCCCGGGGACCTACGCCAGGGTCCTGTTCATGGACTTCAGCTCTGCCTTCAACACAATCCTGCCATCCCTGCTCCAGGACAAGCTCTCCCAGCTCAACGTGCCCGATTCCACCTGCAGGTGGATCACTGACTTCCTGACGGACAGGAAGCAGCGAGTGCGTCTGGGGAAGAATGTCTCGGACTCTCGGATTATAAATACAGGAGCCCCACAGGGCTGTGTTCTTTCTCCCCTGCTCTTCTCCCTGTACACCAACCACTGCACCTCCAGCCACGACTCCGTGAAGCTGATCAAGTTCGCGGACGACACCACCCTCATTGGACTCATCTCCAACAACGATGAGTCCGCCTACAGGAGGGAGGTGGACCGGCTGGTGTCCTGGTGCAGTGGTAACAACCTGGAGCTGAACGCCCAGAAGACAGTGGAGATGATTGTGGACTTCAGGAAGAGCACTGTCCCCCCGCCCCCACCCTCCGTGATGGACTCCCCCATCACCTCTGTGGAGTCCTTCCGTTTCCTGGGCACCACCATCACCCAGGACCTCAAGTGGGAGCCGACCATCAGCTCCCTCATCAAGAAGGCCCAGCAGAGGATGTACTTCCTGCGGCAGCTCAGGAAAGCCAAGCTGCCTGCACAGATGTTGGTGCAGTTCTACACGGCCATCATCGAGTCCATCCTCACCTCCTCCATCACCGTGTGGTTCGCTGGAGCCACAGTCAGGGACAAACAGAGACTACAGCGCATTGTGCGCTCTGCAGAGGAAGTGATCGGCCGCAGCCTTCCATCGCTGCAGGACCTGTACGTCGCCCGAGCTCGAGGCCGGGCTGGTCGTATCACAGCCGACCCCTCTCACCTGCACATGGACTATTCCAACCACTCCCCTCTCACCTGCACATGGACTATTCCAACCACTCCCCTCAGGCAGGAGGCTGCGGTCCATCAGGACTAGAACCTTCCGCCACAAGAACAGTTTCTTCCCCTCTGCTGTTGGACTCTTGAACACTTCTTAACCTGTCCCCCCGCCCTTTATAAAGTCACTTTACTGCCCATCATACGTCACTTTACTTCACTGTACTGCTGTCACCTTACATTGTGTGCACCATGTGCACTTGTATATTGTAAATAGTAACTGTAACTCTATTTTAAATTTAAATTTATTCTTTAGAAGTGTTTTTTATTCTTATTTTTATTATCTCTTTTTGACTGTTGCACTGAGCCAAAGCAATTTCCAAGTCTGTGACCTCCCGTTACTTACGTTGGCAATAAAAATGATTCTGATTCTGATTCGGTTAGTTTGACTCCACTGAACCACATTTTGTATCTCTGCTCTATAAGAGGATTCATCAGTGTCACTGATGAGACCGATGATGGTGGTGTCATCAGCATATTTGATGATCAAGTTTGAGTCAGAGGAGGACACACAATCGTGAGTGTACAAAGTAAAAAGAAAAGGACTCAAAATACATCCCTGAGGAGAACCAGTGCTCACAGAAACAACATCAGAAAAACAGTCATTGATTTTCACTCTCTGAGATCTGTCAGTTAAAAAGATAAAAATCAATTTACACATGGCAACACTTAAACCGAGAGACATGAGCTTTTCAATCAGTTTACCTGGGACAAGGCAGTTGAAAGCAGAGCTATAGTCAATGAACAGCATTCTCGCAACAGATTTCCTATTGTCCAAGTGAGTGTAGACAGAGTTCAGAGCAAAGGAGATGCATCCTCCACACTCCTGTTCTGTCTGTAGCAAACTGGAGCGGGTCAACACTCACAGGGATTTGGCTCTTAATGAAGTCCAGCACAAGCCGCTTAAAAGTTTTCATAAGAACAGACGTGAGGGCCACAGGACGATAGTCATTCAGGCATGTCACAGGAGTTTTCTTAGGAACTGGAATGATGGTGGACTCTTTAAAGCAGTTCGGCACAGTACAGTTCCTTAGCGACAGGTTAAAAATGTCTGTTAGCACAGGGGCAAGTTGCTCAGAGCACAGTTTCAGGACACGAGGAGGGATGCCGTCCGGACCTGGGGCTTTCTGGACTGTGGTCCTGGACAAGACACGCCTGACTTCCTCCTGAGTCACGGTGAAGGGACCTTGATTGAAACACTCAGGGAATACAGTAGGACAGGCATCAGCGGATTCAAAGCGACAGTAGAACGTGTTCAGCTCGTTTGGCAGAGCTTGGCCGACAGATGCAGTTTTCCCAGCGCTAGGTTTCCACGATGTGATGGCTTTAATACCGTTCCACATGCGCCGAGGGTCATCTTCCTCAAAATAACTCTTTAACCTGTCCCCGTAACTGCGCTTTGCAGATTTAATAGAGCGTTTCAATGAGTAACAGGATAGCTTATAAGCAACTGTATCATTTGATTGAAACGCCAACGCACGCTCATGAAGTTTCAGTTTCACTTCCGCGTTCATCCAAGGGTTTTGACTAAAATGTTCTTTAATAACCTTCTGTGGGACACAGCAGTCAATACAGAAGCGTATGTATCCAGACACAGCGTCACAGAATTCATTGACGTCCTCTGACTGAAACACAGACCAGTCCGTAGCATCAAAACAACCTTGTAGCTTCATGCTAGCCTCCTCAGACCAACACTGCACAGTGCGAGAGGTTGGTTTATGTTCCCTGCTCCTCTGAGTATACGAAGGAAGAAGGAGAACAGAGGAGTGGTCAGACTTTCCAAAAGGAGGTCTGAGACTGGACCTGTAAGCTCCCTTCACGTTACTGTAGCAGTGATCCAGAACATGTGCTCCTCTTGTAGCTCGAGTCACATGTTGGTAAAAGTTCGGGAGTACAGTCTTTAAATTACATTTATTGAAATCCCAGCAACAATGATGACTGCGTTAGGATGAGCAGTCTCGTATTTATGAAGGATCTCGCTCAGATCCTGTAGGGCTACTTTGTAATCCGCCCGTGGGTGAATGTAAACAGCACATAAAAATATCACTGAAAACTCACGAGGAAGATAAAAAGGGCGGCAGCTCAAGACCAGGCATTCCAGATTGGCAGTACATGTTTGGTTCACGATTCGAGTGTCCGTGCACCAGTGCTGATTAATTAAAAAGCACAGACCTCCGCCTCTGGCCTTGCCCGTGGTCTCCTTCACTCTGTCCGAGCGGTGAGCGGTGAATCCCGGGGGCTGAACAGCAGAGTCCGGGACGTTCGAGTGGAGCCACGTCTCGCTGAGACAGAACACAGTCCCGGGCCTCGCGCTGGCTCTGGACGCAACACAGGAGCTCGTCCGTCTTGTTGGGCAGAGACTGGACGTTGGCCAGGTAGATGGAGGGCAAAGGGGTCCTGGAGGAGCGGCTACGAACAAGCAGACCGCCTCGCCTTCCCCGGTGTCTGCGCCTCCTACGCCGACTCGAGGTGCCCAGCTCCACACCGCGGAGAGAACGCCCAGTCCCCTCGCTCTGTTAGCTGCCACCGCCGTGGCCCGCCTGCTGTGCTCCACCAGCCTCTTGAGTGGGACACTCGAGGAAGTTTGTGCACCTCAGTTCAGGTAAAACGAGTGACCCGTCACACGCGTGGTCCCGAATGTACAGAAGTGTTTGCCGATCATATTTCACTGTGGCAAGTGAATCCCAGATAAAAAACAACAAAACACAGATTGTGCGCACCAGAGCGTTCACTGCGGAGCCCTGACACGGCGCCATCTTGCTAGTCCTCATGCTCTCTGAAGAAAGTAAATATAATCACATTACTTTTTTTGTGGATGTAATCCCTTACTTCACTCGTTACTCAGAAAAAACAATTTGATTAAAGTAACGCGTTACTTTTATCACGTTACTGACTAACACGGGTGTTGAAAAGTTCACAATGTTCAGAAACGTGATGATCAACAAGTGAATCCAACAGTGTTGGGGTGAATGTTTGCAGATATGTAATGTCAGGAAATTGTTTTAATCATTTAATTAGTAATACAGGGAATAAGTACACAGGTTCCCTTACCAACCATTTTCAACCTTCAACTATATGCCTTCAATTAGACCACCACCGTGTTAGAATTTCAATAGTGGAAAGTCATTTCTCACTTCTACCACTAAATAAAGATGCTTTGCTGCTCATTATTTTTTTCTTTAGCCATCATACTTGGTTGAGGGTTGGGGGATGTAGACTGAGCGGTAAATCGAGAGCTCTGACTGCAGCCACTTCTCCCTCTTCACTACAACAATCTATACTGCTATGGTATGCTCCATACTTCAAGTGAGTCCCTGCATTGCGCTCCTCATGAAGCACAAACACATGTGTGGCTTTTCACTTCTTCCTTGCTCCTGCTCATGTTATTTTATCTGTGTGTATAAACTGCGGACTACACACAGGGTAGACAGTGGACTACACGGTGTGGATATACACTACACTGCTGACTTCAGACACCAGATGACCAGAATCAAGGCTGTATCATCACTGATTGATCAGCCGTCCTTTTCCTGTGGACTCACCACCTGCAGGAGGATCAGTGAGGGGCTGGTGCTCAGTGTACTGGGTGCAGCTCTGACTGACACCCCCCCTTGGAAGACCAAGGTGATGAAACACCTCCTCATCAACGTGAGGAAGACCAAGGAGATGAAACACCTCCTCATCAACGTGAGGAAGACCAAGGAGATGAAACACCTCCTCATCAACGTGAGGAAGACCAAGGAGATGAACCACCTCCTCATCAACGCGTGCAAGACTAAGGAGATGAACCACCTCCTCATCAACGTGAGGAAGACCAAGGAGATGAACCACCTCCTCATCAACGTGAGGAAGACCAAGGAGATGAACCACCTCCTCATCAACGTGAGGAAGACCAAGGAGATGAACCACCTCCTCATCAACGTGAGGAAGACCAAGGAGATGAACCACCTCCTCATCAACGCGGGGAAGACCAAGGAGATGAACCACCTCCTCATCAACGCGGGGAAGACCAAGGAGATGAACCACCTCCTCATCAACGTGGGGAAGACCAAGGAGATGAACCACCTCCTCAACGTGAGGAAGACCAAGGAGATGAACCACCTCCTCAACGTGAGGAAGACCAAGGAGATGAACCACCTCCTCATCAACGCGGGGAAGACCAAGGAGATGAACCACCTCCTCATCAACGTGGGGAAGACCAAGGAGATGAACCACCTCCTCAACGTGAGGAAGACCAAGGAGATGAACCACCTCCTCAACGTGAGGAAGACCAAGGAGATGAACCACCTCCTCATCAACGTGGGGAAGACCAAGGTGATGAACCACCTCCTCATCAACGCGGGAAAGACCAAGGTGATGAACCACCTCCTCATCAACGCGGGGAAGACCAAGGTGATGAACCACCTCCTCATCAACGCGGGGAAGACCAAGGAGATGAACCACCTCCTCATCAACGTGGGGAAGACCAAGGAGATGAACCACCTCCTCAACGTGAGGAAGACCAAGGAGATGAACCACCTCCTCAACGTGAGGAAGACCAAGGAGATGAACCACCTCCTCATCAACGTGGGGAAGACCAAGGTGATGAACCACCTCCTCATCAACGCGGGGAAGACCAAGGTGATGAACCACCTCCTCATCAACGCGGGGAAGACTAAGGAGATGAACCACCTCTTCATCAGCGCGGGGAAGACCAAGGAGATGGTGGTGGATTTCCGCAGACGTCACTCTGCCGCTCCAGCCCCAGTGAACATCCAGGGAAAGGACATTGAGAGAGTGGACTCTTACAAGTACCTGGGTGTTCATCTGAACCACAAACTGGACTGGACTCATAACACAGACGCCCTCTTCAAGAAGGGCCAGAGTCGCCTCTACCTGCTGAGGAGGCTCAGGTCTTTTGGAGTGCAGAGGCCACTCCTGAAGACCTTCTATGATTCCTCAATGTGTGAAGGAGAGATTCCGCAGGTCTTTCCTTCCTGCTGCTGGCAGAGTGTACAACAAAAATTAGGACGAATGAACGGTGTAATATCCTTCACTAATATCAGAATGTGCAATAACCACATATCACTGTTACTTTACTGAGTCACTGTCCCAGAGCCTCATGCTGCTGCTGTACATATGTAAACATACTGCTGCTAATGTACAGATGCTAACATATGACTACACATTGCTTGCACTAGAATACACAGTTTGTTCTACTTACCTCTTATTTTGCCAAATGTAAAACTTTTATATTTCTTTTAGATTATTATTATTTTCAAGATTGAGATTTTATAATGTATATGTTAAGTTTGATCCTATAAGAAATGTCTTAGATTAAGTAAAGAGGTATTTCTTCATTGACATAGAATACATATAAGTATATAGTGTATATATATTAGTATATAATACACAAAAAAGTATTCAGTAAGCCTTGGTGGCTTACTGAATACTTTAAAAGATAAGTGAGGCAGTTAATTTTCTTCATAAACTATGAAAATAATAAATCAGGAGAATCACATTTTCTGATTGTTATATATCATTTGAAAATTATTTTGGTGGAAAATAAGCATTTACTCAATAATAAAAGTTAATCATGCTTTGTTATATATTCTTTGTTGGAAATTACAGAGTTAATGTTTTCATACTGTTGCTAGTATTTAATTCCTTCAGATGTCTCTAAGATCAGTGCTGTTTCGGGTCTGTCGCAAAGTTTGTCACATGACCATACTTCACACACATGAACATGCTTTTCACACATGAACCTACCTCACACACATGAACCTACCTCACACACATGAACATATTTCACACACATGAACATGCTTTTCACACATGAACCTACCTCACACACATGAACCTACCTCACACACATGACCATACTTCACACACATGAACCTACCTCACACACATGACCATACTTCACACACATGAACCTACCTCACACACATGACCATACTTCACACACATGAACCTACCTCACACACATGACCATACTTCACACACATGAACCTACCTCACACACATGACCATACTTCACACACATGAACCTACCTCACACACATGACCATACTTCACACACATGACCATACTTCACACACATGAACCTACCTCACACACATGACCATACTTCACACACATGAACATGCTTTTCACACATGAACCTACCTCACACACATGAACCTACCTCACACACATGACCATACTTCACACACATGAACCTACCTCACACACATGACCATACTTCACACACATGAACCTACCTCACACACATGACCATACTTCACACACATGAACCTACCTCACACACATGACCATACTTCACACACATGAACCTACCTCACACACATGACCATACTTCACACACATGAACATGCTTTTCACACATGAACCTACCTCACACACATGACCATACCTCACACACATGAACCTACCTCACACACATGAACCTACCTCACACACATGAACCTACCTCACACACATGAACATATTTCACAAACATGAACATGCTTTTCACACATGAACCTACTTCACACACATGAACCTACCTCACACACATGAACTTACCTCACACACATGAACCTACCTCACACACATGACCATACTTCACACACATGAACTTACCTCACACACATGAACCTACCTCACACACATGAACCTACTTCACACACATGAACCTACCTCACACACATGAACCTACTTCACACACATGAACCTACTTCACACACATGAACCTACCTCACACACATGAACCTACTTCACACACATGAACCTACCTCACACACATGACCATACTTCACACACATGAACCTACCTCACACACATGACCATACTTCACACACATGAACTTACCTCACACACATGAACCTACCTCACACACATGAACCTACTTCACACAAAATGAACCTACCTCACACACATTAACCTACTTCACACACATGAGCCTACCTCACACACATGAACCTACTTCACACACATGAACCTACCTCACACACATGAACTTACCTCACACACATGAACCTACCTCACACACATGAACCTACTTCACATACATGAACCTACCTCACACACATGAACATATTTCACACACATGAACTTACCTCACACACATGAACCTACCTCACACACATGAACCTACTTCACATACATGAACCTACCTCACACACATGAACATATTTCACACACATGAACCTACCTCACACACATGAACATATTTCACACACATGAACCTACCTCACACACATGAACATATTTCACACACATGAACCTACCTCACACACATGAACATATTTCACACACATAAACCTACCTCACACACATGAACATATTTCACACACATACATAGGCTTTTAATTGACTGGCTTTAAAACTGTCTATTATCCTCAAATAAATGCATTAGAGCCCAGTGGGAAAATAATGTTTGTTGTCATTTTTTCTTTGCTAATGGGAAGTCATGTGAGAGAACACAGGTGAACTTTCACACACACCTAAAGTTTCATTAACTACAGTTCTGAGAAGTAGCAATATTTAAGTGGAGTTACTCAAAACAAGTGTTAAATATGAATGTATTATATGATCCCTTTTCTTCTCACAAGAGCCCAGTGTGATTTGTGGTGTGTGTGTGTAGTCTGAAATGTTGTGAGTAGGATGAGTACATGTGGTCTTGTGTTAGATTATGGCTAGTGGTGGTTTTGTATTGGATTCTGAGTAGATGTTCTCTTGTATTAGATTATGAGTGGATGTGGTCTAGTACTAGATTATGAGTAGTTGGGGTTTTGTACAAGATTATGAATAGATGTCGTCCCATATGTATTTGGCTTTGATCTTTGTCCGCATTTTAAAGTTGTGTGTGTGTGCCCTGATCTACCGCTCATTTACAAATCTCAAAAAGGCGTCAGTGAAATGTATCTCAAGCGGAGCTTGAAGCGAAACAAACAAAAACACTCCCTTTCTATGAAGAAGCACTGGAAAGAGAATAAGTGGTGATGAACAAATCAGACCCTCAAATTCAAAAACTTCACAGGCATACGATTATGACAACAATTAGAAAAACATGCTAACTTAAATGATTCAAAGAAGGAAATGCTTTTAAGTAGATGAAGAATAGTATGAGTGTAAGTTTGCATACTTCAGAGTAGATTAGACTAATCAGATCCATCAATTACAAAAAAGGTTTGATCACAATTTTGTTGCCTCAATTAATTGTTATAAATAATTTTATACTGTTGCACATTACTCCACAGAGTGAACTTCTGCTCTTGCCTCACTTGCCTTGATTAAGACCTGAGAGGGGTCAAAATGCGTCACTATGTCCCTATTTTAATAAAGGATTTAAATATTAAATTAGAACGCCACGGACCTTTTCCTATTGGTTTTCCACTTTGTTTTCCAGTTAATTTCTTCTCGTTTCATGCAAAGACAACCCTATCCATCCATTTTCTACCCCTTGGTGGGATCGAACCCGCGACCTTCAGGCTCAAAGGCCAATGGTCTACCAAGGGAGCCACTGTTGCAAAAGATAACTTGTTTTCTAATCAGATTAAAACAGCATGTTGTCTTCTTATTTGTTCCCAAGTGTTGGAACAAACTGTATGCATTAATATGTGTATATTGTTTATGATAAAGTTAGGTACCCCAGCTTCAGGGGGCAACATGAACACTAATAATGCCGGTCATTTCATACCACTAAGTATGGGCAAGTGACTGAGGAGAGTGAGTTAGTCCAAACGCCTGCTTCTCTCTCCACTGCTGCACTCTGAGATGACACACACACGCTCTTCACACCCCCCATCAGCCTAACCCATGACCACTCTGCTGCTCCTACTGCTCCTACTCTGCTCCGGGCACTCGCTGGGAACCTGGGCTCACTCTGCCATCTCCAAAGGTCCCTTCCTGACCGTGCCCATGATGAAAGAAGAGGGAGTTCTGTACCGGCGCCGCTTCTCCACGTGCGGTGGGACCACCCCTCTCAGACCGCCGCACCCGGATGGCAGAAAGCTGATCCGGAACGCCTCCTTCGGGGGCTACAACGAGCTGTCTCCCCTGTCGCTGCCAGGTGCGTGCGTAGAGCTGCTAGACCAGTGCATTGAGGTAGAGGCAGTGTAGAGCTTTGTAGAATTGTGTGAAAGAGCCAGGCTGCAGTAGACGCTGTTTTGTGCTCATGCAGAAATGATGCGTGAGAACTTTGCATATGCGGCAGTGATACACAGTACACCTTTTAACTTCACCCACTTTCATTTTCTCCCTATTCATCTGTAGTACATCTTACAAATATACTAATTTGTTTTTTTGTAAATTTAGATTTGAATTTATCCAAGACTTTATATATTTGTGGGCGTGAAGTTTGAAATTTGTTTTGCTAAACTTGACTGTCCACATATATACAGTATATTTGCTGAACACTGCAAAAAGATGTGAACTTGTCTTTGACTTCAGTCGTAGCAGTTCTCACACTCCTGTAGTTATCGACAACTCCCAGGTGCAGATCGTAGAGGAGCAAGTTTCTGGGTTTAACTCTGTCTAACCTGAAATGGGTTAAAAACACTGACCGAGTCGTTAAGAAAGCTCGTCAGCGTCTCTACTTTCTGCGTAAACTTAGAGAATTTACCACTAACTCTAAGATTCTGCTTAACTTTTATGGCTGCACCATTGAGAGTTTACTTGTTGGTTCTGTGTCTGTGTGGTTTGGAAACATCACAGATAAAGAAAAGAGAGCTTTAAACAAGGTGCTCCGCTCTGCAAAGAGGACCGTGGGCTGTGAGCTTCCTGTTCTGGAGGTTCTTTATAAATCCACACTTTTAAACAAAGCTCTTAAAATCATCAATGACTCTTCTGGCCACCCTGGGAAAGCCATGTTCCAGCTTCTTCCCTCTGGCAGAAGATATCGGTCGCTGAGATGCAAGACATCTCGCTATGCTAACAGCTTCTTTCCACAGGCTGTTAGGTGCCTAAACAGAGCACTTTAATTCCTGCTTTTACCCCTTGTATCGTTTTGTTGATCGGTGCCACAGTGTCAGCTGTTTTTTTATTCTTTTATATTCAGTGTATGTGTATTTATATTACATTTTATCGTGCTTTTTATTCTGTCGGTGCACACAGAGTACCTTTTTTTGCATATGTATTCCAATGTAGTTTTTATACTGCACATGGCTAATAAAATGAATCTGAATCTGACATGTATATATACTGTATCTAGGCATAGGTCATATTTCAGAGATTATGTTGATGCAAGGCAAGGCTAGTTTATTTGTATAGCACAATTCATACACAAGGCAACTCAAAGTGCTGAACAAAATAAGAAAGAATTAAAATCATATATAATCACAGAACATTAAAGGACAACTCACCCTCAAATCCACTTCTTTTTGCTGATAAACGATATAAATGAGTGTCCAATAGTGTTGTCTACATATCCTGGTCATAATTTTGTCACTTTGGTGCAAATTAGTTGAAAGTTAAACTTTCTGCCTAAAACCGTCTGTGAGGCGCCATCTGCTGGTGACCTGTATTACATTTGAATTTTGAATCTGGCGCCAACACGGCCTGAACAACACTCTGAAGCAAGACCTGACGTCAGCAGCCCCTCGCCCAGAGCAATGTAAACGGCCCAGTCTCGTTCACGCCCCCTTTAGTCCTCCAGGCTACGCCCATTTAGAGGAAGATTTGAACAGGAAATGTGAGTGACGTAAGCTCCGAGGAGCGGGGGTGAGAACCACTTTAAAAAGAAAGATACAAATATAAAATCCCTCAGTTGTAGCACAGCTAAACAGAACTGTTTTTAACCTGGTTTTAAACATTGTCAGAGAGGAGGCCTGTCTCACATCTTCAGGAAGATTGTTCCAGTATGAATCTGAAAAGCAGCCTCCCCATGTTTAGCCCTGACTCTGGGCACTAACAGGAGTCCAGTCCCTGTGCTCCTCAGAGTCCCAGCAGGAGTCCAGTCCCTGTGCTCCTCAGAGTCCCAGCAGGAGTCCAGTCCCTGTGCTCCTCAGAGTCCCAGCAGGAGTCCAGTCCCTGTGCTCCTCAGAGTCCCAGCAGGAGTCCAGTCCCTGTGCTCCTCAGAGTCCCAGCAGGAGTCCAGTCCCTGTGCTCCTCAGAGTCCGGGCTGGTTCATATGGGACTAACATGTCACTAATATATTTTGGTGCGAGGCCATGGAGAGACTTGTACACAAGCAGAGCTGTTTTAAAAGTCTATTCTCTGAGCCACAGGAAGCCAGTGCAGAGACCTGAGGACTGGACTAATGTGGTCGTACTTCCTGGTTCTAGTCAGGACTAATGTGGTCGTACTTCCTGGTTCTAGTCAGGACTAATGTGGTCGTACTTCCTGGTTCTAGTCAGGACTGGAGCTGCTGCATTTTGAATGTACTGCAGCTGTTTTACAGCCTGTTTGGACAGACCTGTGAGCAGGCCATTGCAGTAGTCTAACCTACTGGAGACAAATGCATGGATAAGAATCTCCAAGTCTGCTTTAGACACTATGTTTTTGATCCTGGCAATGTTTTTTAGATGGTAAAAAGCTGCTGATGTTACTGATTTGATGTGGCTATTAAAATTTAAGTCTGAGTCCAGTATTACCCCTAGATTTCTGACCTTGTTTGAAGGTTTTAGGGAGAGAGACTGTAGGTGACAGATGACGCTCTCTCTTTGTTTCTGGGGACCAAAGACAATCATTTCAGTTTTGTCTGCGTTTAGCTGAAGGAAGTTGTTTTGCATCCACTCACTGATCTGTTGGATACAGTGAAGGAGTGAGTCCACTGGTCCATGTTCTCCTGCAGTCAGTGAGACATAGATCTGAGTGTCGTCTGCATAGTTATGATAGGACACTTTGTTTCTGCGTATTAACTGACCTAATGCATCAACCTTTTTGCATCAAACGCATTGTCAGTGGTTGAGTTAAGTGTCAAAAGGTGTTTTCTCTGTTGAAATAATAATGAGGTTAGAAACTTCTCTTAACTGAAATCTCCATCCCCCAGTTCTCAGTAGCATGCATTATCTCTCCTGGACTGCCTTGCATGATCTTCACATCTTCCCTGACATTCTCATTTAGAATTTATTTATGTTAATACGCGGGGGGTAGATGTCCAAAACAATACTAACATTTACCTGAAGTCAGGGCAAAGAATCTATAATCAGTGAAATGTGCTGACGTTCTTTTGACACTTTAGCATTCTACAACATGTATGGACATTTTCTTCTGTGTGTGCTTTATATTCTTCATGTGTTTTAACTGTTGATTCTCTGACCTGTGTTGGTGATTTCAATGGTTTTGTTAAGTCTCTGAGATGACTTCTGTTGTGACCTAGGGCTATACAAGAATACATTGTATTGTATCCCTGTTAAATTCTATGCTGCGAAAATCTGGACAAATGAAAATGCCTTGTGTCCCAATGTAAAGCGCATTACAGAAATAAATGCTCCTCAAAGCAGTTAAAAAACATTTACATTTTAAAGCACTTTCCTACTTCAGCCAATAATTCTTTTTGATGGCTGCGGGATTAGCCTATTGCAGCCCTGCTAACTAGCATTATTAGGCACTATAGCCTCGCATTGCTCCAGCATCCAGGACAGCCTATTACAGGGTACCTGAACCAACACCATGAGCACTACTGCACTTCGGAATCATGCATGAACCCGCACTGGACAAAGGAAACCTGCTAGACGGATGTTTGGCGGCCTGACTTTTCTCCAGCCAGCCTGACTTGGGTTACCCAGAGCCAGAGCGTGAGTGCTTTTATACCTGTTTTTTGCCAGGAATACCTGGGAAAGAACACGTTTTCTGTTGTTTGATCAAACATTTGAACCACTGAACATGCATGAAAACTTACAACATTTTGCCACAAGTTTGGTTCTTGCAAAGACTACAAAGTTGAAATTGTAGGGGGCGCTATTGTACAACAATAATGCCACCGTTTGCATATACAAAGTCCGAGAATCCTTAAGCATAAGGCCAGCAATTTGTACAGTCTCTGTGATGTGAACCTCCTTTGTGAGTTTGTCAAAGGTTTCGATAAAAAGCTGCCTTCTCCATGGCACCACTTTTACTGTCAACCCAGTGTTGGTCCACATTGACACCACTGATGATGTCTATGATGTCGAGCTCCATCGCTGTGTACGTACAACACATAGTGGAGTGATCTTTTTGAGAAAAAAATATAGATAATGGGAAAATCATGAAAAACAAACATAAATCTATAATACTGAGATGTCCAAGAGCTTTGTGCATTACCTGGAGAGTAAGCATACACTGTATATGGTCTTAGAAATGAATATGCTTACTTACCAAGTCTTTGGACTCTAATCTGTTGATCATCTCCTCCTTGCATCCCATGTTTCAGTTTAGCTGGCTGTTCCAAACTATATGGCCAAAAAGAATGTAACTTCACACATGCCATTTTAGTACTTACTCTGGTAAACACATGTGCAAAGCATGTACACATTGAAATACATTGAGAATAATGCGTAGTTTACACACTGTTTTCACATTATTTCCTAAACACTGGGCATGTTTTTAATCCTCTCCTTCTTGGCTAAACAACGAGACCTTTGCAAGAGCTGTAGGTGCTTTAGTTATTTCTAAAAATGTCCCGTTTGCTGAACGAACTGCTGTGCCTCAGTTCACTTTGCATATCCAGCTAACGCTAGCTGTTATGTTAGTTTCTTCAAACGCAGAGATCTTACTGGGTTTTATTACAGCTGGTATATCCATGCCTCGTTCTGTGCGTTTTCCACAATTAAAAACGCAACAACAATACCTTGTTTGATGCCTACAGCGTCAGACTCAAGTTTGTCCCTTTTCGTCGCACTGAAATAAACTCTCCTTTTCTTTACTTTACTTTGGGGTCTGGGCTGGAGTTTCAGCGCTGACTGAAGACGGTCTCTTGTGATTCTCCATTGTATCCATCTTTTCAAAGCCACCTCTCGCTCTGCAGTGTCAGTATTGACAGATACAGCTAGTGCCGCTATGGCCTAGCGTGAATGCGCATGACGTCACATGTTCGACCCAAACACCCAAATTTCAAGCATATAAAGAAACGTTTACAGGCATATTGAGGCA